GTAATAGATGCAAATGGAATCCGATTATAATATGTCATAGCATGCAACAGATAAAGGTGGAAAGCATGAACCAATAATGTGGAAAGTGGTAATTTTATGAGAAAAAGGGGAATATAAATGGTTATTAAGTCTAATTAGAAATGCTAGTTAAGGGAAAAATAATAGGAGGAAGAAACTCCCTAAGGAGCATTAAAATATGCATGATAATTGATGTGAAAGGTAAATAGAATTATTAAGTAACTACTTAAACCACAAGTTTAAGCTTATAGGTTTAGGCCCAACGATAATATTTAACTTGTAAAGTCTCATCATATGTAATGCAGGTTAAAAGATGCAAAGATGATGCTTTACTCATCATTAATTTAGATAGTGTATTGAGATTGAGTGCATGATAAAAAGTATTATACTTAATTCTAGGAATGAGCCAATAAAATTGCTTTTCGTCTGTCTACAATACACCTAGGATGGGAAATTGTGCAATTCATTCTTATGCAATACAGGAAGCATCTTGTAATAACTTATTTGGGCTGGTTATCATCCCTTATTTTGTCCTCTAGGCATAAGACTAGCAAAGAATAATGTTATCCAAAGTTTATTCAAAATGTTGTATGAACGAGTTATCTCAGCCAGAAGATGGAAAGGATTTTACTTGAGTTTCATGAACAAAAAAAATTGATAAGCTGATTTGTTAAAAGTTTTATTACCTAACACAGAACTCTGGGCTCTGTTTACAACTCAACAGTCCCCAATTTCCAACCTTAGAAGATCCCTAAACTACCACCTGTCTGAGGCTAAAGCACAAAATTGCATCACATCAGGTAATATAATTATAAAACACAAGAAACGATATTATATTATAATGCAATGAACAAAAAGAGATAAGAATCTTTTGTATCACTTACAAGGTGAATTGAAAAGCTATACATCCCAGCATTCTGAAAGAAGCTTGGTAACTTGCACACGAATTCAAATATATATAAACTTGATACCCTTCCCTAGAAGTAGGTGGTACACGAGTTGTGTAGATGTTGATACTCTTTTGAAGATTCTTCATTTCACTTATGAATCCGACTTCTATGATCATCTCTAAATTAATCGTAACAATGTGCTTTTGGTCCAAGTTCTTTGAAGCACTAGAAGAAACAGCATTGGCAGGCCGAACAACAGCCACAATTTCACTAGGATGTACTTCTCCAGCTGTAGCACTGAAAGTTAATGCTGAAACAAAACTAATTAGTTGTGATTAAATATCTTGATGGAAGAGAAAAGAAAAGGATTGAATTTTTGTTCCTTAAGCTTTTTTGTTCCTTAAGCTAAGTGCCAAAAGAAATGGAGAATATATTCACATACATACAAGATGTGACATTCTATATTTATGAATTTCCAGATAACTTAATCATTGTTCTCATCTTTGATAAACCAGAATAAGAGAAGTTTGATAAATACAGACCCCATCAACATCTAACTCTTGACATTGTGTTGCGTTCAAAAAGTCAATCTAAATAGGGGCCTTCTGTTGCTTCTCTAGTTGCAGTTTCCAATCAATATTGTCAATACATACACACTAATGCCAATGACAAAAAAAAAAAAAAATACTTACTCTTAAGTATAATTTGCAAATATCAGAGAAATAGAAATGTATGTAGCAATAGAGAGAAAATTAAAACTAAATGGAAAACCTTTCCAGAATCAATTATGTCAATAGGTAACAATAAGGAGCTAAAAATATCCAATTTGACACCATTGTTCTCCATGAGGACACATCCTTCCTTATCCATGAGACCTATTGGCCTTTTAGACCAGAAAAGATATTAGACATCATATTTTTATGAAATAAAAAGTACAACGATTATATTTATACACTAAAAATAGAACTTTTAAAGCCACAGATGCACAAGATAACATACCTGCTTTTAATTCGAGCATCACCTATTAGAAATCTACAAAAGGGAGGGTGAAATTTATCAAATTCACAAGAAGATTAAATTATGTAAACATGTCAATAATACTTTGTTCTGTTACAAAATGATAAAAAGCAAACTAATAGTCATGTTATATAAGCTAAGAGTCTTAAAACCATTGCCTACCAGCAGCATCCCCTTGAAGACCTTCAATTAAAAAATATTCTATTGTTGCATAGATATTGTTGTTATGAACTCCAGCACATTCTCCCTTGAAAACCTTAACTCTTTGACCTCTTTTCCACGCTAAACCCTTCCTCTTTAGTACTTGGTGCACCCTTGCAACTATAGTTGAATAATATATATATGATATGTCATCAAATAGAAACAGCAGGTAAACAAACAAATCAGCAACAAAAGAATAAAAAAGAGACCCAAGGAATTGAACAAAGTATATGACAAGCACACTATGCAAAATGGAAAATAATGTTATGTAAGTTAAATTCCTTATCAATCAAAGTCTACTATCAGATGAAATGCCCAATGACTTTTTGTTTTGGGGGCTAACGATAAAAATTAGTTGATCTGCTCCAAAGTTATTTTCTTCATCATAATGATCATGCATTTGTAAAAGCCATTCTTGATATTCCTTTTTCAGTTGCAAAGGAGTTAATAGTTTTCCAGCTCTCTAAATTTCAACATTGACATCTGCAAATTTGGAAATTATACCAGTGGGAAGATAGTGTAACAATTCAAATAAACTGAATAAAACTAACCCCATATTTACAATTTGCAAATAAGAATTACCTTTGTCTTCCTTACAAGTAATAACACGAAAATTCTTCAAAGTTATGGTAAACGGATTCTGGTGTGCTAAACCAGTCTATTAAATCATCATCATTTGACAAAAAAAATATATATATATATTATTAACACAAAAAGATTATACAATTACTTCACCGCATCCACAAACTGAATTTAGAATTATTTTAGTTTAGTTGCAATGTCTGTAACCATCTTTGAAAGTCTTGGTGAGAGAAAATTGAACATTGTAGGCATATGCTGAAAGTAGAAACAATTACTACTAAGAAATGTTTTTTACAAATTAGTATTTAGAAGGAAAATTATACATTAGCTTTTAAAGATACGCTAAGCTGCCCCAATATATAAATTCATTCGGTAATGAGGCCTTAGCAACTCACAGTCAAACAAAACTATAAAAAAGACAGGTTGCAGCATGAGATGGTACAAACACATGGAAATTTCACTACATTCCTTACCTTAGAAGGTGTTGGATTAAAACCAGCATCAATATTGCAACCAAACAGATTTTGTAAAACATGCCTTATATGAGAGGAAAACAAATCACATCCCAGTGAGTGTAAAGTACATGGATAGTAGTGACTTAAAAAATATTCAATTACCCTACCAATGAAGCATTTTTCTCTTGAGCAACATCTCTTCAGTAGGTGAGCCTTATCTCCCTTTCTACCTCAAATCCATAAAAGGAAGCTGATAATCCTATTTTTCCCTATGATTTTGCATTGAATTTCGATAGGATTTAGGATAGTTCTCATACAATTTGGGCCATAATTGCTACCTAATTCTATTAATTTGTCTTTGCAGGCCTAAACAATGATTTTGAGCATAAATGATAGTTTTTAGCGTAAATTGCGTAACTTGAGCTTAGAAACTCAGAATGACCTGATTTTAGAATATTTGGAAAGCTAAGAAGAAGAGCTACAACTTTCATGTTTTGGGTTTTTCCTAAGTCTGACTAAACAAGGGTGAAAACTTGGCTTGAAGTCCTGAACAGTACGTTAGAAACTGAAGAAAAATGTCTTTGGACATGCTTCAGTATTTCTACCATAACTTGAGCTGTAGACCTCAGATTGTGCTGATTCTTAAACGAGTAGAAATATAATTTAAAGGGTTACAATTCATATGTTTAACACTGTTCCAGATTCAGACTCTATCATGCTCAAACTTGGCCCGAAAGATTCTCGCCGCAGCAAGGAAAAAGCTTCGCCGCGGCAAAAACTGCAACAGGTGTGAAAAAAAAAAAGACGCGTTTTGGCTTGCTAGGGCTTGGTCCTTAAGTGAGAGAGGTATAAATCAGGACGAATAGGAAGAAAAAAGGGCCTTGGTTCGTCATTTGGAAGGCAGCTCTTGGAAGGAGAAGAGTATTGAAGATTTGGGCTTCAAATTAGAGAAGATTTCTCCATCATTTGCTTGTTTTTCAATGATGAATCTTGATTCAGTTTGTTTTTGTTATTTTATTTCGTTTTTGAGTATGAACTGAGTTATTTAGCTAGGGTTTGATGTAACCTTGATACAANATATATCCCCCTTAAAGAAGTAAAACCGGCATACTTCTAGTAAAAACCAATTTCAGTAAAACATTTAATGCTTTGTCAATCTTTATTACAATTTATTTATTGATTATTCGGAAAAGCTTAGACTTCCATATAAATCCTTCACTATTATATATAAAGGAAAAGCTTAGACTTCCATATAAATCCTTCACTATTATATATAAACTAAAAGAAAAATAAAAAACTCTCAAGTCACCTTAACTCTTTTGTCTGGTCAGTTCTTTGTCTCCTTTTGAGTCATTTGGGAACTAGGATACAAGGAGAAGATTCAAACTCCTAGAAGAACATGAATGATTTTCTATGTATAAGAATCACCAATTTGTACAGTTGATACGTTTTCTTATATTTACTTCCTTCTTTATCATCCAAAAAGAAACTTATTTTTGTTACTGCCATATCTTGAACTTTCTATTTCCTAAACCATGGTACTATATTCGCCAAAAACACCTCTTTCTTTTATGTTCAAACACTTAATAAATTTGTAGTGTACTCTATTCACATGCCAGAAAAAAAAAAAAAAAAAAACAAAACAAAACAAAACAAAACAAAAAAAGCAAATAGAGTTGCCAAACATTACATGCAGTAAACCCTTAAAATAAACTCAAGCACCAAGAAAAATTCCTATATGTTGGGTGTACCTATTAGGTCATAGTCAACATAACATGGAATCGTACAACATTTCTTTATAGGCATTCTCTAAAATGTCTCAAATGCTAGGAACCCGCCTTAAGCATCCTCACTATGTAGTCCAAGAAGAAAAAACGAAGCAAACCTTTATCAGTACTTGTGTGACATCCTTCATTGTGCATACATACTCCTCCGTCAAATTTTCAACATAAACACCAGACTTGACATCTTCTCTTATCTAGAAGGAGAAGCAAACAGGGTCAAGGGAAACTGAATTTATGTAGGTTTTTTACTGGATGTGAGTGCTTCTGTTACCTGAAGATTTCTTTGGCTTGGATCCAACAAATCTGTGATTTGTTCATTGTAAATCTGCAATAATATGTGGATATATCAGGACATGCAACTTTAAATTACACAAGACCAAAAGGGATACTGTCCAGTCACAAAACCTCAAGAAAGAACGACCACATTGGTAATTTAGCTGCTTTTCAGCATGCTTGATTTGTTCCTACAAAGAAAGTACAAGGTTTAACATCATGAAAATGCAAAGGATTAATACCTCGACAAGTTGAATCCTTAAAAACTTGAACCTCAACTCATTTATGCGGGAAAAGAGTCGCTCAAAAATATAGGGAGTTAAGCCTTGTTGATCACTTGATAAGTTTTCTTCCAACAAGGCGTTAGCTGGTCCCCACATGGTATAAGTCTTTCCACTCCCTGTCTGGTGTAATCAATTTTTCAGATACATGAAGAAAGCTAATGGCATAATTACATGTAAAATAAGATATGAGTGGAGAGGAGAGGAGACAAAAGCAAGATAAAAGGTACCTGCCCATAGGCAAACACTGAACTGTTAAATCCAGCAAAACAATTTTCAATGAGAGCGAGTCCAACAAGCTGGAAAACATCCAGCTACAAAACAAACCTATATTTGAGCACCTTATGGTAATAATGCAAATAGTCTAGTAGAAAAGAGATAATACCTATGTCGAATCAATGTCAGCAACTGAATCAAATGTGAATGTCTGTCCATTGATTTTCAAAGCATCATTGCCAACTTACTGTACCATCATCTCCCCTTGTTCCTCTTCCTTATTTGCAGGTCACATTCAAACTATCACCTAATCCACACCATCCAAACTAGAGACATTAGAATCTACTTTGTATACAGTAGGGCAGTAAAGCTACTTAATTATATAACCTAGTATTTATTTTTAACTATGTACACAAATTTCCAATTTCTCTCTCTCTTCTAATAAAGAGCAAAAAAAAAGAAAAAAAAAAACTCAACAATTTCTCGCTTTTCCTCTCAGTAACAAATCAGAAGCTTTAAAATTTACATTTTCTCACGCTTGAGTCACTTTTTCCCCAAATACTGTCAAAATTTAAAAAAATAATATCAAATAACCACTGAAAAGAAGAAGATCGATATAATTACTTGAACATCCGAGTCGGGGACCCCAACCATTACGTTCTCGGGTAGTGTATCAGTGGCGAGCTTGCACTTGAATAGATTGGGCGGGCGTGGGGGCAGCGGACTCTTAATCTTGGAAGATGCCGGAGAAGGTGGAAGAAGTGAGTTCAAATCTGACGACGGAGCATTTTCTTTGGATGATCTTTGCTTCTACAATGACTTTAATTTTGAATTAGGGTTTGGAGACGACGAAAATGGCGACTCACATGAGTGGGTCTCTCTCAAGATTGTGTTTCTTGGCTGCATGAAGTGCTTCATTCCGATCAGTACACTACAGAGAGAGAAGAGAGAGTAGGGTTTGTTAATTTGGGCAAGATTGCTGAGATTGGGAGGGGTGGAGAGAGAAATGTAGCCGTTAGAGAGGGGTAAACTTCTGAATTTTGTAGACAGAGAATGAGAGTTGATTATTCACATTGTGGGGAATTTATACCCACAAACTGACAAAAGAATAAGAAAGTGAGGATCGGAAAAAGGGGAAAGTTATTTTGAAAGCATGATAATCCAAAAACAGAAGACGGTTTTGATTGATTTACAAGCGAGGGAATGAACATGGTCATCAAATCTTAAGCTCGGAAACATTTAATTTAAGTAGTGCACGTGCGCGCTGGACACGTGTACCCCACAGGAACTAGTGCTCAACCGCACACTGTTTGATCTGAAACCATGCAACTCACAACATCATTCCACGTGCCACACACAATTATTCCTCAACAATCTCAATACATAGAAAATCAACACAAAACTTCTCTTGGATTAACAAATCAACCAAATGTCTCCAATTCCTCCACCAATCCTCCGCCGTGGGAGGTCCTCAACCTCCTTGCTCACCACCTTGACCCCAGAGCCCTGGCCATAGCCTCTTGCGTCTCCAAGTCTTGGCTCATTTCCTTCTCCTTCGACCAAATTTGGCAACCCATATGCACCACTCATTACCCTTCTCTCTCTAACCTCAAACTCACCCACCCATCAGTCCCCTATCACCTCATTTACGCCGTCGCCTACTCCACCACCAAACGCCGCCAAAAACCCCCTTCCAGACCTCGCCTTTTCCTCCACGACCTCATCTTCGCCATCGACTTACGTATCAAGAACAATGTTCCGCTTGTGACCGTCGCAAAGCCTGTGAATGAACTTTGTGCCGACATCAATGGCGTGTTCAAGTTTGATGTTAATGTTGACAATTGTGAAGGTTTAGGGACGGTTGAGTTATTGGTAGAGGTGAAAATCGCTTGGAATGTGGTGTTAAAGGGATGGGGCGGTGCTTTTACGATGATGGATTGCGAAGGGAAGTTAAGTTTTATTCCAGGAGCTGAAGGGTGGTTCTCGGAGGAGTTGCCGTCGCCGGGGTGTTGTTTGAGTGATGTGGCAAGTAGGACGTGGCAGATATGAAGTTAGGGATTTGTAGTGGAAGAGGAAATGGTGGGAAAGTAAGGGTTGAGAAAGTGAGCGTGGGAATGTTGAGTATTGTAAATTGGAGATATGTTAATGTTGATGACGGACTTAGATACTTGCAACAATTTGTGTAAAATATTTTTGTTTATCGCTTAATGAAAATTTTGTTTCATGGCTGAAGAAGGTCTTTTATTCAATATGGATAAATGAAATCTTCCCTTTGGAAGCACTTTGTTTAATTATTTGGGATAGTATTTTTGAAATATTATTGTTAGGTAGAGTTTGATGGTTATTACTAAGTATAATTTAAAAATTAAAAATAGTTGAATAATTTATGATAGGATTTTGAGAATAGAGAAACACGTATGCATTTTGATTTAGAATATAAACAGGATAGGGAAACAAACGTGTTTGTTTAGTAATTGGAGTAGTATTTTTGAAATATTATTGTTAGGTAAAGTTTGGTGGTTATTACGAGATAGGTTTTGAAAATTAAAAATAGTTAAATAATTAACTATTTTAGAATAAGATTTTGAGAATAAGGAAATAAATATACATTTTAATTTGGAATACGATTTGATATTTTAGCTTTTTGTTTTGCAAATGCAGTAGAGCGGTATAGTTATTGGGAAAAAGAGCAACATCCCATGAATGCCCGCAAATTAAGCACATACCATCGATACCAATAAGGGCATGCATCCTACTATGATTCATGTATAAAGATCTTAAACTTTCCCATTTCATCTCTCTTACAAAATAATAGTATGGTTTACAGATTATAACTTAAAATTCATTTACATAGCATATATTTTTACTTAGTTCAAGCATAATTGGAATTTGTTTTAAACGTTAAAAAAAAAAAGTATTTTTTTTTTCTACATTCAGGTGCAAATTGATTGGATCGTCGATGTTTATTATAAAAAAGTTAAAAATAACAAGCATTATTTTGAAAATATTCTAACCCTCTCCAAGATAAAATAATGATTTCGCCCTGATTATGTCGGATACAAAGATGGTAATAAATGTTCTCAAGGGCCATAAGTACTCTGCGACCTCAACCTGCACTTTGAAAGATATGACCTGCAATCAAAATAAATTTGAAAAAAAAAAAAAAATCTCTTATTTTCATCTCATTGATCCATTATTGGTAGAATAATATCATTACACCTTTTGTGAGAGACTTCCAATTAAGAAAGCAATCGAAATGGTAATGCATTGTAGAATTGCTGAACTTTAAAAGAGGAATACTTATCCCAAATTTTATATCTCAAATAATCATTTATCACATGTGATCTTGACATATCTTTAAATATATAGTCATCTTACCTATATGTTAAGCTTATAGATATGTTGACACATCCTTTGAGATGTGAAATTTAGGATAAATGATATCATTGTTTGTTAGAAGAATAGCATACCAACCCACTGAATATAGCGTCTCAAAAGCATACAAGAATAACAGATGCCAACCACATTCATGATAAAGACCCGTTATGAGTGGATAGAACTAGAACCGGAACCAGAACCTATCCGAAACCAACACTTTGCAGGTAGGTTTCGGTTCCAATTTTTTGGAACCATTACTAGGGGTGAAAATCGAGTCGAGTGGCTCACGAGCTACTCAAACTCGACTTGGTATAGGCTTGAACTCGACTCGACATTAGTCGAGTCGAGTTTGAGTTCGAGTTCAATTAGTTAATCGAGTCGAGTTCGATCATAGTGGTACTCGACTCGATATGTTCACGAGTAAGATTAGGGGTCATATGAATTTAAAAGTTTTAAAAGTTGCAAATCCACCCTTATTGAAATAATGTAAAACACGATTGTATACAAAAATCCTTGAATCATTTTATCTCTTTCTCTCCTTCTTCACAAATCATCGTCGCTATCATTGTTTTCTTCCCTCTCCTTCGCTATCGCCATTTTCTTCCCTCTCCTTCATTGTCGCCGGTCACCATCTTGCTTCATCTCCTCTCTGCTTCTCAGACTCTCAAGTACTGTGAAACTGAAACCCCTAAGTGAAACTAGAGTCCACTTTCAGTCAAATTTTGTTGGTCTTGGAATGTTATTAGTGGGATTTTTGGGTTTTGGAATTTTAATGTGTGGTTTTTGGGTTTTTGGGTTATGTATAAACTGATGCATCAATGGGGTATTGGGGTTTATGTGTACATGATTGTTTCGGCTGAATGCATTGAGAAGTGTTTGGTGTGATTAGTTGCTAGAATTCCCAATTTAAGCATGATGCATTGAGAAGTGTTGGGTACATTGAGAAGCTGTTATATTTACAATTCGGCGAAGGTAAATTGAAAAATATTGCTAGTGATTTGTCATTTGTGTATTGGAAATGGTGTTTGCATGAGTGGAGATAGTTAGGTTGTTGAGAAATGAAACATGTAGATGCTAGGAAAGTTTACTTAAAAATAAAACATGTTATTTTATTAGATTAATTTCAAGTATCCTGTTTCTTTACTAGAAATTTAAAAAGCAAAGTCATTTTTGTAAACTTGTTAGCCCACGTCATGTCTAATTAAGATATAGTTAATAAGTTAAACTTGAAGGATAGTGATGTCACATTGTCACTGTCGTAGATCCATCATTGAAAGCTATGGAGAGGCTGTGATGGCCACATAAATTAGTTGTTTATTATAGAAGAGAATCAACTCATTAATTAATTGGTTGATTAATTTAAAAGAAACTGGGTTTGTGTTCTTGAAAGCATCATTAGGAAGTTAATTAAGGTAATAAGATGGTGACATTATTGTTAAAGAAATACAAATTGCAGAAACTTAAGAATAGAGACCAAACGCAAAGTTGTTGATAGCATTGTCTTCTTTCTATAGTGATGGAGTTTTGTTTTGGAAGATTAGTGGGTAATAATGGGCAATAATTTTGGTTAAGTTGTTGTTTTCTTAGTTCAAATTTATAAAAAAAGGGAGGGTGCTTGTGTTCCTAATTGTCAATTAGCATATTGTATTTAATAGTGTTTTAATTCTTCAATTATAGGTATGGATTCAACTAGTAGCCGACCCACTCCCACAGTTAATACGAATGTAAGTGAAACTGACGCTACTGCTAGTAGCCCCCTGAACAATGAAGAAGGTAATCCAATCCATAGAAATAAAATAGGCAAGACATATGTGGTTTGGTCAGATTTTACAAAGGTGGTTCTATGAAAAAGGCAGAATGCAACTATTGTAAGACTAGACTTACCATTAATGCATCTCGAAGCACTA